CGCTATCCGATACGCCACTGGGGCCGCTTTTTGTGATAACTGCAAAAAGAGATTTTCGAATATTGCTCTTTATTTTGCTTACGTACTTTACACAGTGCTAAAACAAGGGGCTATACCTGAAATCTGGTATTATGCGTACAATTGGACAAATGGGCGCTACCTTGGACAAACAAGAAAGCTGTCTGTGAAATCAGATAAAACTTCTAGACTAGTGAATTTGTCAAGAAAATCGATCCCATTCTAGAACGGAGCATTCGTCATGCAAACGGGCACACCCCCATATCCCCGGGGTGTAGGCGTGGCCTCGTACCTCATCTGGACGTGCCGCATTGTGGGTCATTTGTACGATAGTTCGGTTCGATACAAGCCACCTTGTGTTTGACAAATGGACCACAACTGCCCCAACATGAAAGTACTCATTGAAAGCGTAACTCCGCAATGTTCATACGAAGTAGGCAGCCACGCCCACCGCATCTCAAGGATCTGGAGTGTACGTAATCGCGTCGCGGTGTAACAAAATGGGAGGTTCACTCGATGGTGGTCCAGACCATTCGTGGCACGAGTTCGGGTTCAAGCTGGCTATTTGGCTCCTAGCTATTTGGCTCGACATAGCACTTTTACTTCGAGCACGAGAGCTTATACCGAAATAATGCCGTAAGACGGCATAAGACGTAGGCTACCATGACACAATTGATTTGACGCCAAAGTTCTCGGCCAAGTCAACTAACCAGAAGTACTATCTGGCTTCACGAAATACCGCACCTTGGGATCTTTAACTACGCCCCATTCGGAACTCCTCTTTCGTTGCGATTCGAATGCGCTTAACTGCACATGTCCACGGCGTAGAGATGAGGCCATGTCATTCTTTACTCGCCTGCGTACCCCAACCCAGATGGCGATTCTCTTCCCAAGTCCAAGAGAGCGCAGACCAGCAGGGAAAGGAGACGGTCCTGTCCTATTCACTGCCCCTCCCTCCACAACTACTCGGTGTCGGAGAACGTACTAGGCATCAGCATTCTTACATGGTGTGGGACTGGCAGCTACGGCACCACATAAAGGGGGGGGGGAAGGAGGAGGTGCTATTGTGGCTAGCTATCGCGGCTAGCTGGCTGCCACAGAGGTGCTGATTACTGTTGTACACTGCCTTCGTTGAATCTGTGAGGAATGTGCTGTGTTCAGACATTAGACAACGTAGGATTGGGATATGACTAAGAAATCGCCCCAGAGCCTCACTCCGTTTCAGAATGGGAAGAGGAGAGCCAGGGGTCATTCAGTGGGTGACATCACGGCTATGAAGTGGTTACCATAGCGCTCGTCTGTTATTTTTACCATTCATCATGGCACCCAGCCCTGAATGATCCTAACAGGTAAGCAACGCGCTAGCTTGAAAATCGGGCTTCCAACCAAACGTCAGTGAGAAAGGTCATCCCAGCACCTGCCTTGGGAGGTGTGACCCGGCATTCATCTATCAATGGCGTTCCACTGAAAACCCTGACTCCTAGCCAACGCGCTCAGTGTTCTCAATGTTATAAAAACAGCTACAAAAGCTAAAAAAATCTCAAAAAAGCAACGTTACCAATCAATAACACTACCGAGACTACGAGATTACAGTGTCACAACATACACAATCTATCAATATGAGAATCAAATCGATAATCGATAATCAATGCTTAAGCAATACCAAAGCCAAGCAACCATCCGGCTGCAAATCCGCTTAGTAGCCAAGCGTTCGAGCGCAAAAAACCACCAATCTGAAACGAGGCCTTTCATGATAATGTTGTGTATTCCTGAAGCACAAGCAGGACACGTTCCAACGCTGTTTTCAAGCCCCTTCCCCACAAAGTTCCTCTTCTGGTACGACTTCCCCCCTTACCCACTTCCCATCCTACCTAGCATTTTCCAAAAATTTTCCTCTTCTCCTATCTTTTCCAAGCGTGCGACAAGACAATCGTGATATGCGGCGCTGATGGGCGTGTCGAGCGACGCCGCGCTGCACGGACGAGTTGCCCTGCGCATCCTTTCGGTTTTGAGTGTTAAAGGGACGGGAGTGTTCGATATCACCTTTCCTAGAGTCTTGCCCCCACTTGACGAGTTCATACGAGTTTCACTGCTCCAGTCGACAAACTAGCACACAACGAGGATGTGCTGCCTCACGCCGCACCATACGCCGCGCGCGACGAGAACTCACGATTTTCCTGACCGTCACCTTTTTTCCAGTTCTCGAGAAAAAAAACTTTGGTTTTCCCTCGAAAAGCTGCCGTCGAAGATATATAGTTTACACGAAACTGGAAAAGTCAGTAACAAAACATTTCTCTCCCCGCTGGGAGAAATTTCTACGGGACCCATCAACCAAATATGGCCCGCCTCACTGGGGATCCCTAACGTGTGACGGGCCCTGGACACAGTCCCTCCCTCGTCCTAGGCATTACTGAGAAGTTCAACTAACTTACCTCTTCTTCGTTGGGTATCATTGAATCGGGTTTCCCAAGCAGATTTTTCTCCAATCCTCGTTTCAAATCCATTAAATCCTTCTCGAATTTTGTTCGATTCAGTTTCACATAACCACGGTAGTTGCAAACCTGAACAAAGAGGTTAAAATAGCACATTCTATTAGGAAAAAAAAGATAAAATGAAAATTTTGATTTGTTTTATGTGCAATTCGTGTGCGAAAACAAGCCAGTAATATAAAAATTATTTATTTGTCAAGCTGTAAAACTACCAGAACAACTAAAACGATCGCCCTTAGTCTATAAACCTGTTTACAACGTTACAAGTAATTATTTTTAGTACAGTGCTGTCTGACTAGTGTTTTTTCTTCGTAGCATATTCGTCTTTCAATCCTCTTCTGTGCAGCAAATAAAAGAGCAGTGTCGGCCAAGCCCAACGTAAGAAGATGGCAAGTTTATTGCTCAGTGGAGCCATGATTAGCTCAGTTTGTCGATCTGAGGCGGCTTGAAGGATTCGTTTGGCGGCATCTTCTGGAGAGAGTCCCTGAAATTTGAAGGGTATAATCTTCAAGAACATAAACACCGTAATCCCACTTCATAATATAATCCGCGGCAAATCCCCAAGAAGTGCGGGATTAATCCGCCTAGCAGGATGGAATTCGACGACCTTGAGAAGCAGGCGCTTTTTCCAAGGAAGGTACCCCTATAGCGTCCTATCAAGCTGCAACATACCGACCCGGGGTCCCAACGCGCCGTCTCCCCCTCCCCGCCCTCCGCCCTTTAAATGAACGACCTTACCTGATGCTCGAGTGCTTCATTTGTGGAGTATTTAGTTAAAATCTTTCTTCAAAGTGGCTCTTTTTACAACTTTTGCACAAATAGCCCTTCACAGACATTTTCTACACACACTACACTATATTACATCTACATTACATGCCCCGCCCCAGATAACTCCACCCCTTTTTCTCGCGACACAATTTACACGGTGACTAGACACATTTTATTTTTTCAAAATATGAAGTGAAAGGATGGATATGAAGCGGCGCGGGGCTGCATGGATATACAGGGGGGGGGGCTCAGCAAAGTTTTCGCAGCCCAGACAGAGGACGTGGATACGAGTACCAGGGCGGAAGATACCCAAGATGTTCCTCGATAAGCAGGAGCTGGCTCTCACCCATCACCTTCATGTACACCAAAATATGAAGTCATCTCCAGTCGCAGCCTGACTGGAGAAGACCTTTGGAATTCATGTCACCTCCAAACAGCTGCGAAACTTCTAGTATGGAGTCACCCATGGATAGCTACCTGGAGACCAGTACTCTCGATCTGGAAGACCTCCATCATCGAGCAGCTCCGTCAACGTCGCTACGGTCTAGGACATCATCTTCACCCAGCGCCAGTTGATGGTGGGGACCGGACGTACCTGGAATGGAGAGACCGATATTTTCTTCGTGGGCCCCGGACTGAAAGTGAGCGCTGGCGGTTACATCGGGATATCCTCTACACGTTTCGTCGCCCGTACCTTCTTGGAAACTTTGTACTGCTACAGGATTGGGTGACCCACATGGAATCAAAGGGCGTTGGGAAAACTCTTGCCTACTTGGAATGGAAGGGCGTTGAGTACCTGAAGAAGATGGAATATCTAAGCAGGTCACCTGACCTAAACCCCCTCAATTACCTGGTTCGGGGAGTTCAATAGGGTGGTCTACGGTGGCGGAGAAATCGACTATCTCGCTCAGGCACCACATCGCGGTCGCGTGCCAGAATCTCTCGATGGCGCTCGTCCAGAAGGCTGTGGCGGAGTGTCATGATAGTATTTAATATGCTCTTTAATATGGTGGTAAAAATGTCCGATCAGAATTTAATAAAGTGTAACTTATAGCGCCTCGAAAGTCAAGGAAGAAAAGTGACTTTTTTTGGCCCCCCTGTATGAGTACATACATGCAGCCATATCTATCCTAGTGGTTATTGGCCGATGCCAATGGGAAACTCGTCCAAAATTGCTTAAACGAGAACTTTTTGCAAGTTTTTGACCGTTTCACTTCGCTTTTTCGCCACTATATAGCACCCCGCTAGCATTTCAGACCGAGTATCAAATTATCGTGCCATACGCCCTTAATAAAAGGTTGTGGGAGTGACAGCAACTAACAAGATTTGATAAGGGGCGTTATAAAGGGAGGGCCATCAAATTCGCAGCGCGGTTCACAGAAACAGTCCGACGTTAGTTCCAGTATGTGATGATACATGAAAGAAAAAAAAGATGAGATTTCTAGTTCTTTATTCTCGTTTTTGGGCCAGAGCACATTCGCCAACTCCTATCCGGCTCCTCTATTTCTTGAATTCTACCGTAATCCCTCCATAATCACCGATTACTGCCCGAAAAATTCCACTTAATGCGACTTTTCTTGCGCATAAACTTGTTTGTCGTACGTCTAGGAGTAGGAAAGCGACAACAGAGGTTCGTACTTTTCCTGATGATCGAAAAAACAACGGATCGGGCAGTTCATGGCAGTTCGTTCATAAACGACCCATCACCTATCATTGCACTAGACGTTGGTGTAAAGGTCGAACGACAACCCTATTGTAACCCGCCTGCACTTCCCACACAATCCATTTTCCACTCGACGCCCTTGAACAACCGACTTCTCACTGGTCAGCTCCACTTGGCTACCACTTGGCTACCAGAGTATTCATCGAGCTGATGATTACTTATTTAACTGTCCTGGCTGTACTCTTTGGAGTCGCCCAAAGTAAGTCTCGTTAAGTTTGGCGCTGGACCTGGAAACTGATGTCGACTGCAAACAAAGCTCGTGTTATTACATAGTTTTACACAAATTCACAGGTCACACCCCGGCAATGATCGATGGGAATCAGCAAAATGCCCCCACCAAAGCGAACTGAACCCGAAATTTCAACCGTATCTCTTGAGTTTCCACTAATATACCCTGATGAGATGACTCACCCTATGACCAACTGCAATCACAAGCACCTTCAAAGGGACTCTTCAGGACGTAGTTAGCCAGCCACGTATATCACAAAAGGGCCCCAATCTGCGTGAAATTGGTCTTCCATCGCAATTGCCCTGTAGGGGGCAACACTGACCAAATGGAAATAGTTTGGCTGGAATATAAGTTTTAGCACATGAAACCATCAATCTTCTGATGCAGGAACCAGGCCTCATAATGTGCAACTTACCACTTTCACAGTTAATCTTCCACCAGAGAACATGATCACTGGGAGAAACAGGGGGGCTGCTACCGGTCGCTGTTTTGGGAAGGGTGGGGGCGTTGAACTGAGCGTTCTTGAATGACAATTATTCTCGTTTCAGGCGCGTTATATACACCTCCACATTCCTCAACAGAAAAATCCCAGCAAAGCATGACACATCGCTTGTTGGGGATTCCCCAATAGGGGGGTCGTATTTGGTCGCTGGGAGAGGGGGATCGTATTTGAGCTGAGAAACTTTTTTGGTAGCTGATTCTTGTTTCAGGGACGCTATAAGAGGTAAGGGGGTTGTATTTGCTGTCAGGAGAGGGTTGGGGTCGCATTCCCTTCGGACCTTCTGAGAGGTCGCTGACTTTTCATTGTTTTTCCTTTTTCATGTGCACTATATACCCCCTCCCCTCGACATTTCGACGGGGATGGAAACAAGGGGGTCTTACCGACTTCCAAAAAATGGGGGGGGGGTAATCGGACTCGACCAAATCGTCAACCAATGATGTACTCTGCAGTAAAGATTGCGTAAATGGAGGGTGGGTTGGGCATAGTGGCGGTGGGTGTAAAGGAGGGGGTCACATCCTAACGCTGCGGGAAAATTTTTGGAAAGTACAACTTCCTCTCCTTCCCGAAAGTTTCCTTTGTGGTACGACCCCTCCGCCAACGACAAGCAAATATCCACCTCTTCTCCTCACTGCACTTTTTTTTCGGCGATGTTGATACTGCGCGTGAAACAGAAGAATCAACAATCAAAAAAAATTCACCAGGTCCAATACGATTCCCCTTCCCGACTAAATACGACCCCCGCTGGGGGTTCTCTGACGTACGAGAAGCCCTAGCTACGTACCAACTGAGTATGTGCCTTATTTATGGTTTGCAATGGACTGATTCATAGTTACCCATGGTTTATCTTGGCGTTTTTTTTCTGATCAGTGGAACTACAGTCTTATTTAACGAATCGTGACTTCATCACATTTATTTTGGCCCTACTACGCTCCATAGGAGCCAAATTACTTCGTCATCCCAATCTCCAACTTTTCCGAGAAATCATCAGCAAAGGCCTTCATAGCGGTGCTTCCATGGGCCACATTCCTACCCAGAAGGTCACAGCCTACGACACCAATTAACTATTGAAAGCTGAGTCGCGAACAAAGGTTTACGACTATTCGGATGACTTAACAGCCAATGTCAGAGTGGGTTGTCTTTAAGTAAAGCAACTTCTTCATCTGCAATTTACCGACTCCCAAAACAGCCTTTTGAAAGAAATGGCCACAACTGCTGGGACGACGGTTGCTGCCAACGTCATTGGTGCAAGGGCTGCGAGATGGCCTTTGGCCACACCCCGCTTAGCCCTTTCCCCAGTGACGTTGCAGCAACCGTCTGCCCCAGTCATCGTGCTCACCGTCTTAAGCAGATGTTCCTATTCAAATTTCTGGAGAGAACCGGCTTGGTAGGGGCATTTTTATGGTTCTCACCATAACTACCAATGTCTCCTGCAAGCTGTAAACTCCTGCGATGCCATGCAACAGCAAGAGTCTCGCTTACAACAATGACCAAGTACGACCCCTCCCTTTTAAAGCGAGAAAAATCAACTATCAAAATAAATTTCTCCCAGTCCAAATACGAGCCCTCCCTATTGGGAATTCCCCAACAACGATGTGCCCTGGTCTGCCAGGAATCTGAACGGAGGATATATAGCGCTCTTGAAACAGGGAAAACCGGGAAAAGTCAAAACCGCAAACTCTCAGAGGCAAACACGACCCCCTCGCTGGAGACCCACTAATACTTCGAACCATAGCGTCTTCCTAGCCTTGCCAGTGCTAAGCTCCTCCCTCCCCCATAATTCTCCATACCCCATCCATTGATGTGTATGCCTCTGCTTCCCGAGGTTACTACGTATTTCCCGTATATGGCCACTCCCAGCTGAGAATTCGAAAACACCAAAAGGGGCTCCTTTATATAGCAGTAGGAGAGCGCTATCACAATCAAAACATCGCGTTAAATTGATACCACAATTAATTGGTTTCCAGTTTTGCTTTGCGACATTCTTCTATCATTTCTCTTATCACAACCACGAGGGGCATTTCGAGAGCGGAAAGGCAAACAGACGGACATTCACACTTACTCACGAACACGCAAACGAAGATAGCAGTGATCGCTGAACTTACAAGGGAATGGTTTCATACTTCCCATGGAACTTTGAATGGAGACCTAGGTACATCGATAGAGCCTCGAATGCTGATTACGAATATGCAGATTAAAAGTGCTACGGGGACCTCCCAGACGAGATCTGGGCGGTCAAAGTTTGCGAAAACTCAGTTTTGGCTCGTAAGCGCTGCTGATCGATCGTTCGGCAGTGCCACCGTGGCCTAATGGTAACTGTGTCGCTATAAAGGCAAATGCTAGTGGGTTTGCATCCCATTGGCGCGAAATTTTTGCTTCGTCTCTTATAAAAGCTTTTACTCTCTAATTTTCAAAATTCTTCCGAGTTTACGGCCCAGCAGAGCAAGTAGATCAAGTATATGACGTACTCAATCGAGTACGGATTTGATCACAATCTGTCCTCTGTGAACCATGCGACATTCGAAGTTTTGGCCAGAACCACAATTTGGCCAGAGCTTCACGCAAAAAATGATTGGACCCTCGTTCAGTTGATGACCTAAACAATGTGAGAGGCAAAGCGTTTTCTCTTCAACTGGTGTGATAATCGTTTCAGGGGGTCAAAATACCGTACGTCATACATTTGATCTACTTACTCTGCTGAACCGTAAACTCGGAATAATTTCGAAAATTAGAGCAAAATCTGATATAGGGGACGTAGCAAACATTTTCGCGGGATGCAAACCTACGCATTTGGCTTCTGCAAGCGATACAGTTACCACTAGGCCACGCGGTGGCACTGCCGAGCGATCGATCAGCAGCGATTACGAGCCAAAACTGAGTTTTTGCAAACTCTGACCGCCCAGGACTTGTCTGTGAGGTCTCCGTAGCACTTTTAATGTGCAAATTCTTAATCAGCATTCGAGACTATATCGATGCACATGGGTCTCCATTAGAAGTTCCATGAGAACTTGAAACCATTCCTTTATTAGCACCAGGCAGCCCTAATCAAGTTTCTGCACCTTACTTCTAACCATAAGAACAGTCACCAGCATGAGGATGTCTGAAACGAAACGGCGCGCACAAAAATGTTTCTGTTCCGGAATTGCGCCGCACTTTACAACGGGTTTTCTACTGAGACCACTCGGAGCTGCCCTTCTCGAACAGCGCAGATTGGACAATCGGTTTCACAGTGATGAAATATTATGCTAACGAAATCTTGATGGGTTCTGTCTCTCTACCACTATATTTCACCAGTCGCCTCGCCGGCTGACGCCGGCGCGGCTCCTTCTGATACGGCCCGGCTGCGCCGGGCGGGCGCGGCTTCGCCGCGCGTACCTTCTCTCACATATTTCTAGACTCAACTGATATCCGCCTTTTGTTCTGTACTCCACTTTTCTCCGGTGTCTGAAGTACTCTTGAGCTATTTTACAGATTCTTCGTCTGACTCCGCCCCTCGAAACAGGCTCCGCCCCCAATTTTTGTGCCCCACAATCCTCACTGGCGACCCTCTGCTGACCTTAATCCACTTTTTTCCGGTCTTCGGAGTGCTCTGGGACCGTTTTGCAGATCTTTTGTCTGGCTCCGCCCACAACGTTTTTGCCCCACGGTCCTCACCGGCGACCTCTGCTGACCTTAATCCACGTTTTTTCCGGTCTTTGAAGTGCTCTGGGAGAGTTTTGGAGAATTTTTGTCTGGCTCCGCCCACCTCGGGCTGGCCCCGCCCACATATGTATACCCCACATTTCTCAATCGGCGACCCCATGCTGACCTGAATTCACTTTATTCCGGTCTTCGGAGTGCTCTGGAACCGTTTTACAGATTTTTTGTCTGACTCCGCCCACCTCGGAGCAGGCTCCGCCCACAATTTTTTGCCCCACAATCCTCACCGGCGACCCTCTGCTGACCTTAATCCACTTTTTTCCGGTGTCTGGAGTGTTCTGGAACCGAGCTACAAACTTTTAAAATGAATAATTAGGGCAAGCTCCGCCCACTGTGGGCGGGTCTCAACACACTTTGAGTGCCCTATATTCGCCAGATATTTACATTCTACACTGAGTTTTTTGCGACTTCCAAACACTCTCGCGAACCGGGTTACTGAATTTTGCGAGAAGCACCGCCCACCTTGAGTACGCCCCGCCCATTTAGGGTGTACCTGCCACAGTTAGTCTGGCGACTCCTTACTAACCTTATTCCCTTTTTTCCCCATCTTTAAGCTGCTCCGGAAGCGAATTATGAACATTTTTCTGCGGAACCCCAAACTTTCGGCGAGTGCCCCGCCCACTGTGGGCGGGGCTTCCCATAGGTCAAGTGTGCTTTTTATTTCTTGTCCCATGCCCTACCCATCCCCACCTTGACCCGACCTCTCCAAGTCGTTCTTCAGGTCGAACCGAATTTCCGGACAGACAAACTTACAAACAAACAAACAAACAAACAAACAGACGAAGCGCTTTATATATAGGGTGATATTTTGTTCGGCTTAGCGTGGGGGAATTTTGCTAGTTTATTAGTTTCTTAGGTTTCCTCTAGTTGCTGAAACCCGTAAGCTCTATTAAACTTACAAAACATTATGAACTTCAGTGCATACTCCTCTAGTAGCTTCCCATGAGTTCACATGTCCATGGCACCTGGCAAGATACTCCCTCTAGGTCTCCCTCCCCTCCCAAAGCCGAATAGCGTCTTTCATTGTCTTGACTAAAATTGTTTCAACTAAATCATGCTCGTATCTCTTATATAATTGTAATAATTGAGCCGATTTTGTGATGATCAAGCACTTGACTTCCAAATGTACATCAACTAAAGTACGTAGTATTACATTGGGGATCCCCAACTAGGGTCATACCTGATTGTTCCGGGGAGAGGTATTATTTGCTTTCAAGGGAAACGTTCCCGGTTTCTTTAAAAGTCATGGGTTTTATGTGCGCGCTATGTTCCCCCCTCCCCCCACCACCCCCCTCTCTCGCTCGACGGCAGGGGAATATTTGAAAGAAAAAAAAACTCCGGAGAGCGACAGGAAATTGGGAAAACGCAGGAAGACGGTAGGTAGATGGGGGAGAGGGGTCGTACTAGAGAGAATTTCGAGGGATGGTCCTACTTTGCAGAAAATTTCCCTAATTGCAAGAAGTGCCTTGATGTTATCAGTATCGCATCGTCCTGTACACCTTTTGGCCACTTCAATGGGTTACGTGACAACTAAAACTTTTGGTGGGGGTCCTGCCACGATAGGCCAGAGCGCAGAGCAATAAGGGACTGCTACTGCCAAGGCATCGTGAGGTACAAAAAACACGATGCGAGCCAGGAGATGAGTTTTTTGAGGGGAGGGGACACCGGGGTGGATGAGCCACTTAGTATGCGTTAAAAGTTGGAATGTGAAAGGTCAAAGTGGCCATAAATCGCCACTCAGGCAAGAGAGCGCAGAGAACAACAGAAAGTTGGCGCCATTAAAGGGATTGAGTTTTAGTTGTCCGTAGGCCAGTTCACTGAAAAATGCAGCACTGTTGCGATGAATCAGTTTGGTCCTGGTGCGAAAACCGCTCACGTATCCTTGCTAGTAACGCTTTTACTGCTACTCCATTGCCGCAACGTGAAACTACTGGAACGTTGTACTCCCCTAACATCTTACTTACTACATAGCGGCTTGTGCATCTAACGCATAAAGGATAGTCTTCGCTGCTGACTAACCCCTTTATTGGAAGCGGCACAACTCCTATTTACATTCAGATCGTAGTGGCTTATTGAATGTGGCCTATACAATGTTTCGCGGGGATCGCCAATGTACAAGTCAGCGTTGTTATCTTCCTGAAGAAATCTGGGTACCATTCGAGGAGGAAGGAGGACTCAGTGGGCGGGAAACGATCCGAGACTCCAGCTCCAGACGTGTGCCTTTACAGACAGAAATTATTGAACCCTTTTCTATGTAGAGTTCTTCTCAGAATTTCGTTTACTTTGGTTCTTCTAATTTTATGCATGATGACCTTCAGCAAGGTAATCAGCACCAATGTTAGAAAAAGCGTCATCAATATCAATGCTTTCGGATTGTTTGACCCAATTCTGACTACTCAACACTTTAAAACTGGTTGAATAACCCCCATACTATTCTAGTAGAAGACTATTTATGTTGTTTAAGCGCAATTCCTCTTTGGACTCCTTCCGCAGATTCCGCTTCCCCAGATTCCGCTCTTCAACCAACAACCGCTCGGACTAGACCAGAATTTTACAACCATGGCAAGCAGCAGCAGCAGCAGCAGCAGCAGCCGCAACAGCAGCTAACGGTAACTCATTATTCAGCCTTCCCTACTTGGGTTAGATTTTTTTCTACAGGTACCCGATGAATCGGAAGAGCCGACCGAACGAATCGAGGATATACCCAATCCAGATCTGGAACCAGGAGTCTGGGCAGTACCCGATCCAAGATCATGGCCAATGGTCCCGACTGGAACGACCCACGAAATACGTGGGCCGGTGTATTTGGGTGGACGAGTGGGAAAAAAGACACGACTAAATAAAAACGATCTCGCTAAATGTACTATATTTGTTGACTATTTGAGTAGATGCTGAACATAAACGTACCTTCTTTTGGTTCTCATCTTCTTTACCAACCGCTTGCCCTTGTACATCAAGGGCGCGCGTTCCGAAACCTGTGTTCATGTAACCAGCTGATACCGTAAGAATGTGCAGATTGGGACGAGATTCGCAACGTAATGTATCGAAAAATGCCTAAACAAAAATATTTCGAGGGATCAGTGTTTTTGTCACTGAGTAATATCTACTGAGTAATATCGTATGTGAATATCTGTCGTTGCTGGACACCAAAATCTCAATTTCTTTCGCAGAAGCTCTGCCCGCAGGGATAACTGTGTGCTCTGATTACGAGAGAGACAGTAGTTTTTGGCGCAGGCGCCAATGTGCGGCATGTGCACTTTGGCAGCGTTCAGACTTCGGCATGACGCGCGTGGGCGCGCTGTAACGCGGTGTAACGCGGCATCAACGCGCCACAACCACAACAGCGCTCCAAAGGCATACACGCGAACGCAGCCGCAGACAGCGCCGATCGATACCAGGCTGCGTGACTGGGCAGCACCTACTACCACATCCCCGGTACTCTCTCAAAACACAAGCGGCCGGCGCTCATCGATCAAGTGTTCGCAGTAGCAAACGATTGGCGTCGAGCCCTTCGCGGCTGCGTTCGCGTCTACAGCTTTACAGCACCTGCGTGGCGCGCGTTACAGCGCATTACAGCGCCTTGTCGCGCGTATCAGCGCGTCCACGCGCGTCGTTGCAAGCTTGAATGTTGTGTTCTTCACCAAAACCGAGGAAAACTGTGTACGAGGGTTATTTGACATCCTGATTAAGAAAATGACATCAGGCACCAATTTGGCGCCACGGCATTGCCCATCAGAAACTGATATAAACCTGACTCACCTGGAATGCATGTTTACTGGCGCTGTAAGCACTTCTGTACGGAATTGCTAATTTTCCTTGCACACTACTCGTTGCAATAATGCAGCCGTCATCAGGGATCGCGTCCAACAGTTTCTGTGTGACCACCACATGTCCAAAGAAATTCACATCCATGAGCTGTCTAAAGGAAGACAGGTCAATAGATGGGGTCATGTGAATCCTCAGAGCGAGAGAGCCTACTTGTAGATCTTTATCGGAGTGTCCTCTATGGATCCACGCATTGATAGACCTGCGTTATTGATCAACACGTGAATTGTTTTTCCATCAATTGCATGATTCGTTAACGCTTCGACATCCATCGGCTCGCAAACATCAAGATAGCTTAAATAAACAAATTAGTGGAGCATGGTCATATTTTACAAAGGTCGCTAGCCGCTTATTTCCTGCGAATTTGTATAATTCTGCTAAAAATAAAGTCCTTCACACTTAAAATCCAGAAGTTTGATTTTTCTGAGCAGTTTTCAAAATTAGGAAGTAACCAATACAGTGAGCCTTTCGAATGGGCTGAAGCAGAATAGTTAAGACACCGTTCACACTTAGCGGTACCGTCTGCCAGCACCCCTCAGCGTGTGCCGGCGTCTCGAGGGCTGCGGAAGTATAGCTATTGATCTAGCGTCTCCCAGTGTCTGTTAGCGCCTCCCAGCTTCCGCTAGCGTTCACCAGCGACCGGGATTGGAGAATCTGGGGAAGTAGGAGGGTAGCAAACAGCTGAATTAGGCGTCGTGAAATTGCGGCGTGTGCAACCGCACCGCACAACTGCTAAAGTACAGAATTATGCAATTTAATAACGGTGTAGTGTAGTTGTACGGTGGGTTGCACACGCTGCAATTTCATGACGCCTAATCCAAATCGATATCTGTACCTTCCTAGACGCTGACGCTACCGGACCTTCGGAACGCTAGTGGTCGCTGGTGGTCGAAGGTATGAACGCAGCCTAAGGGGGTCAGTCAAAGGACCGCTTGTGCAAAGCTGGGACTACCTCAACGGATTTTTTTGTCCAAACCCAGCAGGGAAACAGCTCTGGGGTAGACAATATTCTTTGTACGATAAAAAAAATTCGCTTTCCGTAATACAAGTTTTACAGAAGTCATTTTAACGTCACTTGGCCGCATTGCGCATGGAATAAGTGTGAGAAATGATTTGCTGTGAAAAACCTACTGTATTCCCACTCCCCCTTCACTAGAACTTCTCCCGCTCACCCTTAACATGTGATTTGCTACAGCGTCTTC